TAGTCAATAAATAAAAGGACATTCAGGTTCGTTTGAAAATGATGTATATATTTTTCATTTTCTAACAAACATCGTTTGAGGGTAAACAGTTGTATTATATATACACGTACGAATATATTGATAGAGTTATCCCGTTGTACAACCAGTTTGTTTTTTCCTTTTATTATATATTTTTTTACGTTGATTCGAGCATTGTTGTTCCACATTAGTCACGCCATATTGTTTGTTTCATGTTGAGTTTAACTATTATATTTAATGTACAGAATTTTAAATAGTTATATTGCGGATGACGACATTATTGGAAGAAAAACCAAAATTCGAGGGTACCTGTTTCCAAAGGTACAAGTGCCTCGCGTATTTTACCGCTATTGTTATCGAGTTCCAAATGGTTCGATTACGAGAGGTCTTGGGCTTTATTTCTTCGTTCGTTACCATCTAAGCGCTTAAAGGTTTAATGTAGAGAAAAAAGATACACTTGTCTGATGTAATCATTGTTCCACAAGTCACGTACACAAAAGATGGCAAAAATTTTAGTCGGATACAATTAAAGCCATTTGTTAGGGACAGTAGCCTCCTTAATGTAGGTAAAGTCGAAATCGAGAGAAGGAGAAAAAGAAGTTCGTTAAGTGAGAAAAAATAAGCTTATAGATTACTGAGATACTAATGAAAACGCATAGTTACCTACAAAAAATTTTATGGGATAAATCGATGATTATGCATATATTACTTAACACGAGGACAAGCGCAATAATTTCCCGTGAATGAAAATTTAACGCTTGAACAACTCTAGCACAGCGTGTTCGTCAGCGGACAGCTAATATTTGACATCTCATAAAACCTTGATGTAGTACAAACACAATTGACACGCAAATTCCAGGTCAAGTTTTATTCGGGTTAACTGTCACAGTGTTAGGCGTAGGAGGTAGATAGGTTCGATTCTATTGATAAAAAAACGACAAAAATATATTTACAAAACGGTTTTTAAACATAAGAAATATGCGCGTATATGAATATACAAAGGCGGCAAAGGGGGTTGATTTTTTGAAGTTTCGGTGGACGCGAGCACAGAGACGTGCCATATCCGCTTGTAGCTCGAGAAAAAAAAATCAAACAAATATTAGAGAAGTTTCTTTCAAGGTAGACGAGCGAGAGATAAGTCGAGTAGATGAAATTGTTTACCATGTGATAGTATAGTCAACTAATCATTTTTGTTACCATTATACAAATGTTATAATTATTTAGTTCCACAAAGGACGTATATATATATGTATATATTTGAGAAACTAGGCGGTGAGATGAAAAAATTATTAACGTGCAACTTTACAAACATACGGGGCATTGCAATTCTCATCGCGCCATCATCCGTCATCACCTGTCATACTTACATCTCGTAGGCCATTTTGCAAATAAATTTCACCCATTTACATACACACGATGTGTAAATTGATAAATACATATAAACATGCGTACTTTTTTTTTTTTTTTTTTTTTTTCATTCTTTCATCTGTTGGTAACTTCTTTTTTTTCTCCTCTCATTGGTTTCGTTACATTGTTCACATGCACGTAGTACATACATATTCACTTAAGCCTGTCAGACAGAGAGATGGCTCGACCTTTGAGCGCAATTGGCGTCAATGAGACGTGAGGCTGGGAAAAAAAAATCTCGAACATTGTCATTGAATTTGAAGCGAGTCAGCGGCGCTCGCGTACATTATTATTAATATCGCGTGTGAGGTATCAGTCGCGTGGCGCGAAGATCAGCCCAGCGATGAGGAAACATCATGTGGGTGTAAATATAACTTTTGCGTTCGTATTGCGAATTCAGGTCGCGTTCGATCTAATTGATGCGCTCAATGGAATAATGTCGTTTTTCACTTTGTCATCAATTTCGCACATTTGGATAGCTTCATAAAAAAAACATGGTACATTTTTACCGCGTGCAATAGTCACTCGTTTCATCATCTTCACGAATCGCCGCAATACATCACTATTTGTACATTTTATCAAGTCTTTTTTGTTAAAAATGAAATTTTACATTAATCGGAGGATTTATTTTTTACTTGGCTCACTTTGCTGTTATCATGAACTTAGCATTGCGTGTTGCAAAACCAAATGAAGACGCGGGATGCTCGTTTTTTACACGTAGGACTCGTTTTGCCGATAACGAAAATTGAAGGGTCTATCTAAAATAAAAATAACAAATAAATAAAAAAAAAAAAAAAAAACCAAACACAGTCGCGCGCGTAAATAAGATGCTGTGATCGGCATCGAGTGCCCGACTGTACGTACATTCCCCTAAGAGTACACAGAAAAAAATAATAATTAAGTAAAGAGTAATTAATTGTTATGAAACGTAAATATGAATAACGTACCTTGGCCTCGGTTTCGCAAATGTGACTCGGGACTTTGGATTTTCAAATGCAGCTCCATATATTCAATTGGACTATCGAATCTGCGGTCTTTCGTTTCTGCTGCGAAATCGAGCCTTAACGCCAGCTGTGATGGAATTAAAGAATGGAAGTGATTAACTGATTAACGGCAAAAGAACGCGAATATAAATGAAAATGCATAAATAACATTGACTCTTGTCAAAATGTCGCAGTTCTTTTATGCCATTTCTTCAGTGAATATTAAACATAATATACATATATTATTATATAGTTAATTGGGGCTTACTAAGATTTAAATATTAATAAAAGAAAACGTAGTGAAAAGTTAACTAAAATTTAAAAAAAGTTAAAAAAAGTTAAAAAAAGTTAAAAAAAAAAGAAAAAAAAAGTAACGGAAAGAAAAATATGTAGGAATTGTTGTTGTTGTTGTTATTTTGTGCAGGACAAAAAGAAAAATGACGCCCGGAAAGCCTCGACGAGCAGAAGCAAGGAGTAATCACGAGGGGTGGATTAGAGAGGGAATAATAGCGAGGCGAGAGCTTCTTTGTGTCTGCCAAAGCGTACCCCTTTCATACACACATTTTACCAACTAAGAATTGTTTTACTTAATTTCTTTTTTTTTTTTCCTTCATCACATAATCATTTACGTGTAATCATCAACTTTTATTTGTATTTCTTATAAACATAAATATATATGCATTTAGAAAAGTAGCAAAGTAGCATCTGACCGCAAAAACTAAGTACGATTTTCGTCCTTCGTTCGTGATACTCGTTCTTGATTAGAAAAAAAAAAGTCGCATAAGAAAGTGCAATAACCCACATCGGCTTTCATACTATTTCATGATTGTTGTATATTCAGAGTTTTTACTTATTATCATCTATTCGGCCGATGATTCATTATTCATCACACTAACGAATATTCCATTACGTA